CTCGCAAGGATCCTGGCCATCATCAGGCCCAGAGTGGCAAAGTTGGCTGCTAGAACCAGGTGATCTTTCTGGGGCAGCAGCAGCGGGAGAGACTTCAGCAACTTGTCCATCAAGGAGGAAAAGGTTTTGTCTTGCCTAGAGAGAAAGCAAACCCTGAGACACGTTTCCTGAGCAGAGCCAGAAGCACCTGAAAAAGTCAAGGTTAAATGCAGTACCCACAGTACAGTGTCTTAAAAGATCCTGCAAGCTCATTTCACACTTCATCCTCTTCCTTCCTACTGACAATCTTAAAGCAGGCTCCTGTGGCTCTGTTACCTGATAAGATCCGGTGCAGTCACCACCAGGTTAAGGAAAATCCCACACAAGGTCTGCAGGCTCATTTCAGTGCTCGTTAGTGGAGTCAGGGACCCTGGCTCGGTGGTCAGCACCTCCCACTGATGGAGGAAGTACTCACACAGCAGCGCTGGTGCCCCTTCTGAGATCAGGATGTCCCGGGGCCTGTCCTCTGCTGTTAAATGGCAAAAGCCAGGTAGCAGAAATCTGGAAGGGGAAAGAAATTTGGAACATGAGGCAGAAAAGGGAAAACAGAAAAATATTTCAACAGGTTTGTGCCAAAATGCATCAACTTCTGTGCTTCAAGTACACACCTGAGAGCATCCTGGGGAAAACCAGAGCAGTGGGTGCTGACCAGCTCTGGCTGGGGAAGACTCGCAGCTGGACTGTCCTCTTTGAAAAGCCTCCTGGCATAATGAACAAGGAAAGGCAAGAGCTCACAGATCTCCTGCTTGAGGGAGGAGGTCTCTTCTGCCATCCATGCTCCAAGGATTCGAATAGAAGCAAATATGAAAGGATCCTGTAGCTCCTCCTGCTTAACCTGCATGGAGAAGAAAGCAGAGAATGACACAATGGGGCCACTGTCCTGTTAAGCTGCCACAGTGGGTCAAGGTGTGCATTTTGCTGTACACAGCTACGGCCATGAGCTGCCAGGCACCCAGTGCATGTGTCCCAGTGAACAGCTATCAAAGTCTCCCACGGAAACCCACAAACATGCTCTTTGCTGGAAAGCCCTGCATTACCTGTCTCAAGTAGAATATTACAGCTCCAAATGCCTCCTCCATGATCCTCATGAGCTGCATTTTCTGTGCCTCTTGTAGCAGCGGTTTCTCTTCTCTCAGGCACTCCTGGATCCCCATCTCAATGAGGACATAGCAGGCTGTCACCGCTTCTTTCTTTCCCTCCACCTCCAAGGGATCTGGCTCCTCCAGGGTCAGGCGGACCTCCACACAAGCCAAGTTCACCAGCAAGGCCAGGAACTTGCTTCCAGCCCTCCCTGCTGGGATCCACTCTGTCCCACAGGCCTGCACGAGGCAGGCAGCAAGCTTCAGAGCAGGGTCCCTCTGGGACTGACTGAGTTTACTGCCCAAGATATCAGCCAGCCCTTTGTAAAGTCTATGGAGGCACTCACAGGCCTGTGAGTCCTGCGTGAGTGGTGGCGACAGGGGGATGAAGTGAGGCAGAACCTCGCACAGCTCGAATTTGGTCATGTCTTCAGCCTTGAGAAAATCATTGGAGAGCTTACTCAGCACGGCCAGGAGGTGTGGAGCGTCCCTTTGCCAGCACTTCACCTCTGCTATGGCCAGCAGCCCCAGGAGCAGCGCCAAAGCACGGTCAGAGCCATAACTGCAATTCACGTAGGCCTGGCACAGGGCAGGCACCGTCCCTTTGGTCACCAACTCTTTGGGGCCCCTGGTAGTGGCCAGGACAGCACTGAGGCACTGGTAGACATCATCGACCATGGACGTGCTGTCTGGATCGCAGGGGGAAACCAGGATGTCATTGAAGGTCGGGATTTTGTTGAGGATCTGGGAGTGCCCAGCTAACTCCGGATCGGTGCAGAAGCACGCCAACAGAGTCAGGCCCAGCGCCCGGAAGGTGTGCGGGGGGCAGCCGGCCGGGGGCTGCCTGGAGGTGAGCAGGCGACTCGGAAACGTGAATCCAATTGCGTCGAAGATCTGGCGACGGGTCTTGGCGTCTACTTCTCCAGCTCGGACCGCTTTGGTCACCTGTAAAGCAAAGCAGGGGTGAGTGCGCAGCACAGCGAGAGGCTCTGCTGAATCTATAGGACCGAACAGGAAGCGCTCCCGTTTCCAGCGA